GCTCCTCTGAAGCTGCCTGGCCTGCTGTGTTCCTCCAGCTCCACACTGTGTTATCTCAGACTCCAGCATCAGCAGTTCTTAATATCTCTCAATGAAAGACACTCTTTGGTCTGCCCAACACTTTCTTTCTGGTATTCCAGTGCAAGCTGTCCTTCACTGTGTGTTCCAGACTGACATATTCCAAGTAATAAGTCCACATGCTGAAGGACACACAAAAGCTTTGGAGACCCACTGCAGAGGCGCAATGTGAAAAGATCACTGTCTAAGACCTTTCAGCCACAGTATACTGAGGGGCTGGAAACTGTAGAACCCCTTGGGCTATGTGCCTGACAATAACATAGGAAATAGGAGTCGGAGTGAGTCACTTGAACCCTCACACCTCCACTGTCATTAATGAAGATCATGGATGATCTCCCAAGACCTCAAATCCTCTTTCATGCCAAGTCTTCATAGCCCACAACTCCACAAATTTCAAAAAATCATTTACCTCCTCTTTAAATGTTTTCAGTGATCTAGCTTCCCCAAGTCTCTGGGATAGAGAATTCCAGACATTCACTACCCTTTCAGAAGAAGAAAATCCTTTGCATCTTAGTTTTAAATGCTTGTCTCTTTTTCCTGTAAGTCTGCCCCCTGGTTTGAGAACCTCCCACCAGTGGAAACAACCTCTCAACCTTTATCTTGTCAAGCCCCCTCAAATCTTGTATGTTTCAATAAGATTGTCTCCTCATTCTTGTAACCTCTAATGAATAAAGGCCCAAACTGTTTAATTGTTCCAGATAAGTCATTCCTTCATCCCAGGAATCAGCCCAGTGAATATCTTTTGATCTGCCTCCATTGCCAGTATATCCTTTCTTAAATACAGGGCCCAAAACTGAACACACTACTCTATGTGTAGCTTCTGTACAGTTTCAACTGGGCTTCCCTATTTTTAAACTCCAACTCCAGTGACTATCAAGAATATTGAAATTTATCAAGGCATCTCAGAATGGAATATATTGTCAGGAGAAAAGTCTGTTTCTATGTTTTCATTCATGACATGCTTTCACGGCATGCTTTCATTCAATCGGACGGGGCATTGAGTACAAGAGTTGGCAGGTCATGTTACAGTTGTATAAGACTTTGGTTCGACCACATTTGGAATACTGTGTACAGTTCTGGTTGCCACATTACCAAAAGGATGTGGATGCTTTGGAGAGAGTGCAGAGGAGGTTCACCAGGATGTTACCTGGTATGGAGGGCACTAGCTATGAAGAGAGGCTGAGTAGATTAGGATTATTTACATTAGAAAGACGAAGGTTGAGGGGTGACCTGATTGAGGTCTACAAAATCATGAGAGGTATAGACAGGGTGGATAACAAGAAGCTTTTTCCCAGAGTGGGGGACTCAATTACTAGGGGTCATGATTTCAAGGTGAGAGGGGAAAAGTTTAAGGGTGATATGCGTGGAAAGTTCTTTACGCAGAGGGTGGTGGGTGCCTGGAATGCGTTGCCAGTGGAGGTGGTAGAGGTAGGCATGATAGCATCATTTAAGATGTATCTAGACAGATACATGAATGGGCAGGGAGCAGCGGGATACAGATCCTTGGAAAATAGGTGACAGGTTTAGATAGAGAATCTGGATCGGCGCAGGCTCGGAGGGCCGAAGGGCCTGTTCCTGTGCTGTAATTTTCTTTGTTCTTTGTTATTTTTTCTTTGTTCTATTTCGCCACTTAATTTTCAATTTGAAATAATTAGCCCTCAATTTGTATGCCTGACATGGAATGTATACCATGAATATTAAAAGTAGTACAATTTATTTATAATAAGTAGTTATTTTCTTAACAATGAATAAAACCTAATGTGCATATTCTTTTAAGCTGAATTGGACATTTAGTACAATTGGGCTTTAATTGACCTATTGGATCAAGATGGAGGCAGAGCTTGGGCATGTCCATTCCACCAGTTTTTCTTTTTGTTTCTTCTCTTTTTTCTTTTTTACTTACCTTTTACTTTAATTGTGGCAGAGGAGAGTGAGGCCAATGCAGAGAAAATCAAGCCTGGCGTAAAGAAGTGCAGAGCGAAGCAAGCCCAGCCTGAGGGAGATTGAGGTGATAGTAAGAACTGCAGATGCTGGAAGTCAGAATCAATGCAGTGTGGAGCTGGAGGAACACAGCAGGTAAGGCAGCATCAGAGGAACAGGAGAGTCAACGTTTTGGGTTGGGACCCTTCACCAGTCCTGAAGAAGGGCCCCGACCCGAAACATTGACTCTCCTGTTCCTCTGATGCTGCCTGACCTGTTGAGTTCCTCCAGCTCCACACTGCTTTGATTCTGATGGGGAAGATTGAGCCCAGAGTGGAGGAGCACGGGGAGAAGCGAGTCCAGTGTGAGGAGATTGAGCCCAGCATTGGAAGCGCACAGAAAAGCGAACCCAGCATGAGAGAGACTGAATCCAGCATAGAGGAGCACAGGGGAAAACGAGCCCAGTGTGAAGGAGCACAGGGAGCAGCAAGCCCAGCGTAGGGTGGGGAATCAAGTCCGGTGCGGATAAACGTGAGGAGAACAAGCCCAGTGTGGAAGAGGTGGAGCCCAGTGTAGGGGAGAGTGAGCCCACAGTGACTGCTTCCTGCTGGTATTGGCCTTGATCGAGGCCCACGGCTTAGCACTCAAGAATGACTGTAATTTTGAACACAACTTTATTTCTTTATTTTTCTACTTTATACCTAAGATTTTGTATCTAGGTACCTTTGTTTAATCAAATACTCACATTTTTTCGGGAATTTCCAGCTCATTAACCAAGCAACTGGTGACAGAGCGGAGCCAAGGACAGAGCATTATGAACAAAGCCATTCAGTAGAAAAATAAGAAAACATAAACATTAGTCACTCCTTTGGGAAACACTTCTACATTAGAAGTGTAGAACTCTACTCCCAACTACTTATACACAACCAGTTATTTCTTTGGAAATGGTTAAGCAACTATTCGTGTTTGTGGGAGCTTGCTATGTAGAAATTGGCTGCTGTATTTCCTACATTTCCAGAGAGACTTCTGTTAAACGCCTGAAAGTCTGAAGTGAAGGAAGAAACCAGGCCAGTCTTGAACTAGAATAGAATTATTCATGGAGTGGAATGTTAGTTTTTTATTACTTTTCCTACTTCAAAAATATACTTTCTTCATAAAAAATATCTTTAAATATATACACAGTTACAAATGGAGTTCAATTCTGTACTGTAGCACAAGAGGAAACAAGTAAACATTGGAGTTTGACTCTATCATAACAAACCAAAAGCATCTCTTACTTCTGCAAGATTATATTTACCTGCATTTGAGGTACCAGGAGGGTGACTTAACTGAATGGCCCCCCACTTAACTTCAGTAGAAAGACCTCAGACAGTGGTCTTTCCCCACTACGCGTTGGTGGCAGCTGCCCCAAGCTTTAGTGCATCCCTCAGCACATTGGCCTGGACCTTGGAATGTGCCAGTCTGCAACACTTGGTCGAAGTCAGCTCCTTGTTCTGGAAAACCAACAGGGTTCAGGCACACCGAAGAGCATCTTTCACCAAGTTTATGGTCCTCCAGGTGCAGTCGATGTTTATCTTGCTGTGCGTCCGGGGAACAGACCATGGAGCACAGAGTCCCGTGTCATGGATCTGCTTGGCACGAACCTTGACAAAATGAACTGCATCTTTATGCAGACTTCCTTTGCAAAGGCACATTCCAGGAGGAGATGTGTGATAGTCTGTACCCCCTGCAGCTGTTTCAAGGACATCATGCGGTGGCGCAGAGATTCCAGGTGTACAAGAACGATCTCAAAAATAGTGCCCTTCTCACCACCAGCCAAAGTGATGTCTTGGTGCTTGTTGGAAAGTTCTGGTGATGACACATTCTACCAAATGACTTTGGCAGTCTGCTCCGGAAACCAGGCAGTAGGATCCACCCTCTCCTTTTCCCACAGGGTCTGAAGGACACTACATGCTGACCACTTCCTGATGGATTTGTGGTCAAGGCTGTTTTTCTTTGCAAATTTCTTCACAAAGGACAGACGATACAGAATTGGCCAACCACTTGGAGCATTCAGTGGCTATGAGGCCAGCCCCATTCTTCTCAGCACTGGGGACTGATAGAACCTCAGTACATCGTGACACTTGGTGTTTGTGTACTGAGTGTCTATGCACAACTTTATGCAGCTGCACACAAAGGTGGCCATCAGGATGAGGGCAACATTGGGTGTGTTCCTCTCCCCCTTATCCAGAGTTTTGTACATGGAGTTCCTGCGGACATAGTCTATCTTAGTCCGCCAGATGAAATGCAAGATGGCTCGGTGACTGCATCCCCTGCCTCAACTCCACTCCAGTGTTACTAAGCGTCTCTTTATCTGTGTTCAGGAAACCATCCAATCAACACCTTCCACTTGTATGTACTTAATGTCAATTGTTACAATTAGCAACTGCACTTCAAGAACATCTTTCTTCAGTTGCAAAGCTGTTTCCTGAGGTTGTGAAAGCTGCTATAGGAATGTAAATGATTTTTGTAAAAAAATCATCAGTGAATTGTTAATTG